GAGCACAGCGAGCACAGGCCGAGCTGGGACCCACATTGTAACCGGAGCCCGGAGCGGGAGCAGAGCGAGCACAGGCCGAGCTGGGACCCACATTGTAACCGGAGTCCGGAGCGGGAGCAGAGCGAGCACTGGCCGAGCTGGGATCCACATTGTAACCAGAGCCTGGAGTGGGAGCAGAGTGAGCAGAGGCCGAGCTGGGATCCACATTGTAACCGGAGCCCAGAGCGGGAGCAGAGTGAGCACAGGCTGGCCGGTGTGGTGTGTCGGGGTCAAGTCCTGGACAGAGACGAGCACGTGGTGGCAGTGAGGCCTTGTGTTCTGAAGCCCAACGGGCACAGATTCAGTGAAAAAAGGCCATGACTTGAGTACTTTGAAGACACTTTTTACTCTCATTCTGGATTTTTAAACTCCTTTTTTTTAATTATTTCAATTCTGTAACAACTCTTAAAGTTTCTGTACTTAGGTACCCTGTACCTAAGATAGCGCCGAGAGGTGACATTACAAACTTTCCACTGCTCTCATTCGATTGCACGTGACAATAAAGGTCATTCTGTTCTATTCTAAACCCTGGAACACTCTACCTAACAGCACTGCTGGTGTTTTTACACCATAACAACTACTGAAGTTCAAGAAGGCAGCTCCCAAAGCCTGCTAATGAGGAATTGGGGATGCGAAACAAATGCTAACTTAGTCAGCTATGCCAACATATCATGGAAGTTACAAAGAAAATCAAAATCACTTACTTCGAATGTGAGGAAGAGAAGACCAAGTTTAAGAAGTAAATCTGTATTCCTGCACTCCCAGTGTGAATGCAGTACTCAAACCAGGAAGCAAATTAGGAATGGGGCCTAACCTCAGCATCAAACATAGTTCAGTTGGTAATACGCTCATCTCTGGACCACAAGATTGTGTATCCAAGTCCAACTCCTGGACTTGGGCATAAGAATTGAGGCTGACGCTCCAAGTGCAATGCTGAGGGAACACAGCACTATTGGAGGTGCTGTTTTATAGATGAGATGTTGACATGAGGCTCTGCTCTCTTTGGTAGACACAAAATATCCCATGGCACTACTCTGAAGAAACAGAGAGCTGTCCCTAGTTTTCTTGTTAATATTTATCCCTCAAACAAAATCATAAAGAAAAGGATTACTTGGTCATTTTGGTTTTATATCAGTCTAAAACAGTTGGAAAGTATTAATACTAAAAAGTGCCAAAGAACCATCCTTTATGGTGATGTCATATGGACTTGTGGGCAGAAAAGTTTACAATCTAGAAGGAGTGAGACTGAACATTTGATCCTCTGTAACAATGTCTGTTTATCAACGTAACCTGGAACTTGTTGTTAATGTCCAATAAAGTATAACAAACACAGAGAGTGCTGGAGAAACTCTGCAGGTCTGGCAGCATCTGTAGAAAGAGAAACAAAGTTAACATTTCAGGTCCAGTGTGACTCTTCTTCAGAACCATTTCTGGATGAAGGTTACTGCCACCATTCTGTTTAAGTGTGGGAAATGACAGGGCCTGGTTGACGTAGTGTGGTAGAAATAAACTACTTCCTGGTTTAACTTGAAAAATCTCTTGTGGTTAACAAGATATTGTTTGATGCTTAAAAGCAAAATACTGTGGATGCTGGAAATCTGAAAAAAAACAAGCAGAATGCTGAAGTAACTCAGCAGGTTGGGCAGAATCTCTGGAGAAAGAAACAGAGTTAACGTTTCGAGTCCAGAAATGGTGCTGAAGAAGAGTCACAGTTTGGGGATTTTTCCCTCTATAATATGACAGTCACTTCTCAAAAGTACTTCTTTGGCTGTAAAGTGCTTTGGAATGTCTTGGGGTCGTGAAAGTTACTTTAGAATTTATTTTTGTTTTAGACACCAGAGCCATGTGTCTTCAACAAAAAGTTTCATCCATTGCAGTTATGTGCCAGAAACCATTGCAATTCAGCTGTATAGCTTTAAACGTCAAAGAACATAAACCTTGAATTATTTCTCTGCTAATCATGTTCCACTTGAACGCTTTGTGGATTCTCTTCCAGTGTGAAGCTCTATATGTCATGTGATCATGATTAAATACAATCATCTATGAGGATGTTGAGAGCAATTGATCCATCAAAATTATTGGAAATGACAGATGAAGGAATTATGTTATTTACAGCAAAAAAGTTAACAAGAATGGATGGAGAGGTGAGTGAGGGACTGAAATTAAAACAGTGATGCGAAGTGGATGGGTTCTGGATAGGCAAGATGTAAGTTAATGCTGTGCTCCAAGAATTGTTTCCTATTGCTTTTAATGATTTGGGTATAAGATGTTCAGATTGTTCCATGGGTGACTGGCACTATTATAACTGAACATGTATTTAAGCAGACCTGAAACCTGTAACAATTGCCTGATCAAATCAAGGAGCACATTCCTTTGGATGTTTGTAATAGGGAAAGCACACACTGCACTCAACCAGCCCAACCCCCCCACTCCATAAAAGTCTACTGTTAGATATGATTCATAATGGGTCAGCACTTACTGACCAATCCTAGGTACACCAATAGCTACACTAACAATCAGTCAGGCAGTATGATGGTAACGGCATTAGACTAGTCATTCAGAACCTCAAGTTAATGCTCAGGGGAATGGGTTCAAATCCCACATGGCAGCTGGTCAAACCTGAATTCATTCAAAAGTCTGGAATAAAAAAGCTAGCCTAATGGTAATCATGTAACAGTTGTTCGTAAAAGCCAATCTGTTTCATTAACGTCCTTCAGGGAAAGAAAATGTGCTATCCTGACCCTGTCTGGATCTAGACCCACAGCAATGTGGTCAACTCTTAACTGCCTTCCTGGCAATTAGGGATGGGAAATAAATGCTAGCCTAAGCAGCAACACCCACATTCTATGAACAATTTTTTATAAATTTACATTTGTTAGAAGTGACATATATACAGAGACCTGTTCACTATAAATAATAGGAATATGTTGAAGTCTTGAGCCTTTTTATGAAATACCCAGCATCTTGGAGAGCCTAGTGTTCCCTGATCCTTTCCTCATCACAATGTTTTGTCCAATCAGAGTTGACTTGCCAATGTTTTTACGTGTCGTATAAATTGTTGTTATTATTTGCAATTTGGTATTCTTGCATTGAGGCCTGATGACACAGGATGAGAAGTTTCAGCAACATCTCTCTCTTGTCAAGACTGGATTGTACTAAAAGACATGTTACTTCAATTGGATAGATTAAACAGGACCAGGGGTGATGCCTACTGGTTAGGTAAGGGCAGGGCTGATATTGCCAGGCAGGAATTTTACAAAAAACAGGACACTCTTCAGGACAAAGTTCGTCTTTGTCCCTGGCTGGGCTGGAAAACATCGTTTAGAAGAGTTCAGCGTCCTGCAATCTGAATCAGACTCAATGTGACCTTTAGGACCAGTCCTGATTGCCAGAAAAGTTTAGAGAGGGCATTTTACAAAATTGATTTTTAATTTATTAGTACAAGTTTTGAAATCTGGTTCTTTTGCCTCTTCCCACCCCAGGAGAAACACAGAGATTTGGCATCAAGTATCACAACTGAAGTGGACAGGCTAGATGAACCACTTAGCATTTTTACAACAAAACTATCATATGTTCAAATTGAAGCAACCTAATTTGAAGGACGATTACAAAAATGTGAATAACAAGACTAGAAATCAGTATAGAGAAACAACACAGCGATGAGATAGTGATAGGGTAAACAGCTCTGACTTAATGTTGTAAATTATCTGCTTCTGTGCTGATGTCACTCTCTGGGATTCACAATAAAATTCTCCAACATGGAACATATTTGATGTGGGAATCCTGAAGTGCACATATCGAGGTTATACAGATGGAGGGACAAAGACAAAATATTGAAGCTATGTAGAGAGATGAGAAAGAGGTGAGCAAAACAAAGAACAAGGACATAACTGTAGACAAGAACGAGACTGGAAGGGCAATAGAAAGCATAGAATATGGAACAGCTAAGTAGGCTGTTGTACATTTCTGAAATAGTAGGAACTGTCAATGCTGGAGATTCTGAGATAACAAGGTGTAGAGCTGGATGAACAAAGCAGACCAAGCAGCATCAGAGGAGCAGGAAAGCTGACGTTTCGGGTCTGGACCCTTCTTCAGAAAAAGTGTACGTTTCTGTTTGCTTTTGCAGGAAGGGGTCGCTCTGGGGAAAAGATTACTCCCAATGGGTAAAGACATCCAAAGAAGGTTAGGAGTTAATAAGATGGTTCCTGAATACAGCTCAGGTTCTTACGTCTTGTGGCTCTAGCTTTGAGTCACTTGAATATTGTCTGAATCACAAATTTATCATTACATACAGTGGAGTGAGTTTGACAAAAAGTACAATCCTTCTAGTAAAATGACAGGCTTTCTATAGAGGTCATTAATTTAATGAAAAATCATCTTGAACTGGCCTCTATTGGAAGGTGACCCAGTTTTAAGCAAGGATTCAAAGTCAGTGTACAACACCGCAAAAAGCATCTTAATTAATTGTTAACAGTAAGAATGCTCTCTTCAGATTTAGCAGAGTGTCTAATTAATCATTTCAAGTTCCATCTACAAAAGGTTAGAATCATTAGCTAACAAATGACAAAGAAGTAAAGTGAATCAGGCGCCAGTCTATCTGCCTTCAAAGTGACATCAGACAGTTTTAGAAAACCACTGAACTTTCAGAGTTTATAAAATTTGACATGGACAGCTAAGATTGGTTTCTGTAAGAGGACCTTCCTGTCACAAATCAGAAGCTGCATCTGTTCTGTATGTTTCACATGCACATTTACGGGACTGTGCTTAGATTTTTTTTACCATCTTACTGGCTTTATCATGGTCTTGCAGTACACTTCCAAACTCTTCAAAATGGTGTGTATCACACAAAAACACTGGCTTGCTCATTAACGTAACTAATTATTTTCCTGTACAACTAAATATGAAGTATAATATTGACTAAATATTAAAAAACAAGGTACTTCAGGGGTGGCACAGTGGTTCAGTGGTTAGCACTACTGCCTCACAGCACCAGGGATCCAGGTTCAATTCCAGCCTTGGGCGACTGTCTGTGTGGAGTTTGCACATTCTCCCCGTGTCTGTGTGGGTTTCCTCCGGGTGCTCCGGTTTCATCCCACAGTCCAAAGATGTGCAGGCTAGGTGGATTGGCCATGCTAAATTGCCCATCGTGTTCAGGGATGTGTAGATTAGGTGGGTTTATAGGGGGCTGGGTCTGGGTGGGATGCTCTGAGGTTCATTGTGGACTTGTTGGGCCAAAGGGCCTGTTTCCACAGTGTAGGGATTCTATGATGCTATGACTTACCATCCAGTCACAAAATGAATTTCAAGTCCCATTTCCTGTCTAGAGTTGGGATGACATATGTCTGCTCCCTCAACATTGCCTACATTCTCATTTGATCCAGTCTGGTGTTCAGATCTTTTTCCTTGTTTTTATTACACTACTTTCAGCGATTTCATGCCCCCTCAGCAGCTTCTTGCACTTTTCTCCATTCAAACCCAGCTTGCTCAGCACACACTGCACTCATGGCTTTGTTTAAACTGAAAGTTATCATAATCCCAGAGGACCATAGGCTGTTCTCTCATTACTGAGAAAAGGAGAAAGAGGGTGGACTGGTGATGAGTTTATCCGTAGGGTCACCACACCACAGGCCAGGGACTTCAATCAGTACAATAATTGAACCCACTGGTTCACATCACAAGCCAGTTGTCTGGCCAACTGAGCTAGAACTTTGTCAACTGCCTGAACTCGGTGATGTTTCTCCAGTCCTGGTCCTCAATCTACATGCTATTGCCTTCTAACTTTGAGAATGCTGGAGAAACTCAACAGGTCTGGCAACATCTATGGAGAGAGAAAGAGAGTTAATATTTACAAGTCCTGTATGACTCTTCCTCAGAACATCTTGAATTTTACAGTGTAGTGACTGGAATGAAGTTATCCAGGTGGATCTCACTGAATATGAGTTCCCTGATTGGGGCTGTTAACCTGCGCCAAAAACAGGGAGCCCTGGCTGACAGATACAAACAGGAGATTCAGACAGTGTCTTCATTCTAAGGACTAGCTCTGAGCTGGTTGGTCAGACCCTACGTACTATGCACATGTAAATAAAGGGTGACTTGGTGACAGGATACCTGTCTCCTTGGAGTTATTTCATACATATTTTCTTCTTTTTAAAAATCAATCTGTTCAGACATGTTGTGACACAGATCTAGAGTAGGTGGGATTTGAGCCCAAACCTTCTGGTCCACAGATAGGGACACTACCACTGTACCACAAGCGCCCCAGTACTAATTTTTATACACTAACGAGCTTCAGTTTACAGACCCAAAAGTTGGACATCCAGCATTTCCAGGCAACAGCTCCTCTTTAAGCCTACTCCTGTACACATGAACACAGGTTAGTGAGAAATTCAGGAGTGGGCTAATCATCATTTTACAAGGTTTGTCTCTGCATCATAGAGGAGGGAGTGAGTAATTCAAAGTTTCTGATCAGAATTTCAGGTCACAGAAACTCATTTCTGTATATTCAATTACTATGCTTTGGAAAAACAACCGTGACCTAGAAAAGCAAATACTCTTAAACTGTGAGCTTCTTGTTAGATTTTCAATTTAACTCCCATGAGATTTTGTAAGTAGAAGCATAACTTTTCCTATTCAGTCTTCTGCACCACTGAATTATGTTCCATTTGTAATTACATTTTGTGGAACGGGGAAAGAGATTTACCAATTGGTGAGAAACTGCGACAAAAAGATAAATTGTGCAAACAAGGAAATGGCTTTTTGAGTTTGTTTCAGAATATAATCATATCACATGTGGAAAACAGGGCAAGCCTAATGGAATAAAGTTACACTTACATAAAAAAACTCCATAATTACTGCATTAAAGAAATGCTTGATGATGCTTAAAGCAACAAAGATGAGAAATAGAGCTGTATTTGAGATAACGTATTATGGATTTGAGGATAGTGCAAGGAGATGGAGTGGAGCTACAAGACTTTGAATGGTGGAACAAGCTCAAAGAACCAAGTGACTTATTCCTTCTTATTTTCTTATGCACTTAAAGCTGGAAAATATTTGAATGGGAGTCTAAATTATGTATTACGTTGAAATAAGAAGCCTAAAGTGATTCATAATGCCATCAGAGACTATGCTATAGTTTTGTCATCCATAGGTTAAGCAGTATTGATCGGACATTAACTCACTAATTGATGATTACATACTCATGGTTCCTGTACTAATCCCTAAAAACTGCCATCAGACTTCAGTACAGATCCTGCTTTTGATGTGCTCCTACTGAAACACTCCAGAATTATGTTAACTTATGGACATAGTACCCTTGGATACACACTTAAGGGACTGAAGTCAGGTTGATACATTGTACCCCACTATGTACTTTAACAGAAACAAATAGTTGGGAAGTATATCTCACTCCTTGAACCTTTCCAAATGTTCCCCTTTTCATTCTCGGTCTTAAGAACCAGATAAATAATAGATATAGTCAGTGTAATGAAAGCAAAGCACCACAGACGGTGGAAATCTGGAATAAAAACAGGAAGTACTGGAGAAATTCTGCACGTCTGGCAGCCTCTATGGAGAGTTAATGTTTAAATCCAAAGTGAATCTTCTTTGGAATTGAATAACTTACAGTCAGTGTATTGACTATGAAAGGACAATTTAAATGAACAATTACTCGATTTATCATCAAGTTATCATGAATATTGGAATTCTCAAACTCAAGATATAACACTCTCTATTCATACCTTGCTTTGGTGGAGCTGGTAGCTTTCTCCTCTGTTGCCTGGAAGAATCAATGGTCTCTGCCTAAAACAAGAAGAAGGTACATTCCTACCATGAGACCAATTTATGAGCAAATAGTCAATACCACACGCATAATCTCAACTTCCATGTTCGTCCCTTACCTTCACTTCTTGCTGGTTGCGTTTTTTCAGAAGCCGGTCACAGGGAACCACGTTCAAACCTGCCACGTTCAGGGCTGAAATTCTGCGTTCGATATCTGAAACCTGTTAGATAGGCAACGATACACAATGTAATATGCATTTTACAAATTATTATTCATTCGTGGGATGTGGCCATCACTGGCTGGGTAAACACTTCTTGCCCACCCCTTGATGCCCTTGAGAAAGTGGTGGTGAGCTGCCTTCTTGAACTGCTGCAGTCCCTATGCTACGGTTGATTCACAATGCTGTCAGGGAAGGAGTTCCAGCATTTTGGTCCAGTGACACTGACGGAACGGTGATATATTTCCAAGTCAGGATGGTGAATGGCTTGAAGGGGGATTTGCGGGAGGTGATATTCCCAAACATTTGCTTCTAAATGGAAGTGGTCTTGGGTTTGGAAGGTGCTGTCCAAGGTGCCTTGGTGAATTTCTGCAGTGCATCTTGTAGACGGTATACACCGCTGCTACTGAGCGTTGGCGGTGGAGGGAGTGAACATTTGGGGATGTGGTGCTAATTGAGCGGGCTGCTTTGGCCTGGACAAATCAATTATTAACATCAGATGTAAACGCAGTCACACTTGTTAAGTGCTGCTGGGATTAGCTGTTTCGTATTGTGAGTTATATGTATTTATCAAGAGGCCTGGCTGTTTGCCTTCACATAATCATATTTTTTAATGTATGTTTTCTTAGACCTTCTAAAAATTACTTGGTTGATGGCACATTTTAAAAAATTTCTCCTACAATAGATCTCAAATTCAGACATCCGTATTTATATTAAGGGTTGACAATGACTACCTTCAGGGCTTTGTTTTACCTTGAGGTGATTTTCATATCCCACTTCACTCTACCTCCAAAAGGACTCTCTCTGACTCTGTGCCGACCTTACTTGACTCCAATGAAGCATTGTTGGTTCCAAGGCCCTCATTGGTGCAACGTCAAAATCCATCCACTACAAACTCTAACTCATTCAGAACTCTGCCCCCACATTGCAACCTGAGGAAAATCCCTCTCACCTATCGCCCATCTTCATGCCAAGATCCACCCACTTCTAATCTTTCAATGAACTGACTTTGAAACCTTCATCCTTGTCTACAAACCACTCCAGCATTCAACATACTCCTTCCTATTTCCACAATGTTTTCTCCTTCCATGTCAGAAATTGCACGACACCAAGTTATAGTCCAACAGGTTTATTTGAAATCACCAGCTTTTGGAGCGCTGCTCCTTCATCAGGTGAAGTGACAAAGCAGGAGCGCTCCGAAAGCTTGTGATTTCAAATAAACCTGTTGGACTATAAGCTGGTGTCATGTGATTTCTGACCTTGTCCACCCCAGGCCCAAGCTGGCACCTCCACATCACGGTTCTCACTCAATGCACTAGGATATACTCCTGCAACTTGCAATCTTTCATTTATTGCCAGTTTTCCCTCTCCTCCTGCTTCATCATTGACAATGTGTCCCTGGAACTGTTTTGCCCCATGCACTTGAGAATTGCCTGAAATCCTCAGCCTTGCTAAATGACGCACTCTCTGAGCCAGTTGCATGCTTCTGAAATGTCTTATAATGCAGGAAGGTTGAGGCTGTGAGTCACTGTCTTGCAAGTGTAATAGCATCCTTTTGCTAATCCAAAATTAATATAATTTCTCCTCCTTCAACCTCAGCACTTTTGCATGGGACATGAGTGTCACTGGCAAAGTGGTATCTGTTGATTGTCCCTAATTGCCCCTTTGGGTAATTTCAGATGGCAGTTAAGAGTCAACACAATTCCAAGGGTTGAATACCACTAGGCCATCTCCTAGTGATGGAGTGATCTGTAGGCCTGAATTGGTAAGGACGGCAGATTTTCTTCCCATCGTGGCATGAGAGAACCAGAGGGGTTTTTACAACAATCGGGCCCAGAACTTGTTGGTCTTCCTGAACAAGGAGCTACTCCCGACTGAGTGTTGCAGACTGGCACATTCCAAGGTCCAAGACTACGTGCTGAGGGACTCACTAAAGCCTGGGACAGCTGCTGCCAAGGTGTTGTGGAGAAGGATCACTGCCTGAGGTCCTTCCATTACAACAGCTGTCTGTTCAGTTATTAGACCCTTTTATTGCCTCAGATACATGCAAATAGTTCCTTGCACCACGCATAATTGAGAAATGCCTTTAGACTGGATGTAACTATCAAGAAAGTCTGTACACCAAAACTGCATAGATCTGAACTGCTTTAGTAACTGTGTATGTACTAAAGATTCCCTTTCCTTGTGAATAAAGTATACTTTTGTGAAAAAAAAACAATCGACAATGGCTACTTGATTACCATTAGATGAACTTTTTTTAAAATTTCAGACATTGAGTTCAAATGTCACCACCTGCCATGGTAGGATTCAAATCCATATCCCTGGAGCATTAGCCTAGGCCCCTAAATTACTAGCTCTGGGATATTATGGCTAAACCTCTATCTCTTGAAGGAATCAAGTCAGCTCTGGATCAGCATCCACATCGGGAAAGTCAATCAACAATAAAATCTTGAATTTGTATGGTGCCCGCAACCATGAAACAGATTCTTAGAATAAAGAGCAGACTTTTTAGTACTGAGGCGAGGAGAAATTTCTTGACGCAGAGGGTTGTGAACCTTTTAATTCTCAGCCCCAGAGCACTATGGAGGCTCATTCAGTGGATATGTTCAAGACTGAGAATGGTAGATCTCTACATAATAAAAACATCATGGTGTATGGGGAAAGTACAGGAAAACGGTGTCAAGGTTGAAGCTGAGCGACACCCTCATTGATATCAGAATGCGTTCAATGTGCTGAATGGCCTCTTCTTGCTCTGTACTTTATGTCCTTTAACATTATAAAATGCTCTAAGATGCTTTACAGAAGCAGAATATAATGCAACTTGAAATCAAGATACATAAGGAAATAGGGCAGATGACCAAAAGCTTGTTCAAAAAGGTAGGCTTTAAGGAGGATCTTCAAGGAGTAAAAAGATATTTCAGGTCAAAATCAGCACTAGTCTTTGTTAAATGCACTGGGAGATGATATTTAGGAGAGGAGATGGCCTAGTGGTATTATTGCTGGACAATTAATGCAGAAACCTGGGTAATGTTCTGGGGACTTAGGTTTGAAACCTACCACAGCAGAATTTTAATTCAACAAAAAAATCTGGAATTAAGAGTCTAATGATGACTATGTATCTACTGTCGGAAAAACCCATCTGGTTCACTAATCCCCTTAGGGAAGGAAACTGGCATATATTACATGTGACTCCAGAGCAATGTGGTTGACTCTGGGCAATAAATGCTGGACTAACCAGTGACGCCCCTCATCCTGTGAATGAATAAAGAAAGTAATGGTGAATTGGATACAGTACACAGAGTTGTCAGGTCTGCTCACCTCTGTATCAACACATTCTGGATTAAGTCCTACACCAGAAACCTGAGCACAAAATACAGACTAATACTCCCTGTGGAGTACTCTGGGAGTGCTGCACTGTTGGAGATGCTGACTTTGAGATGAGACTATAATCTCAGACACCAGTTTTCCTTTTAGGGGGATGTGAAGAAAATAAACCCACATTATAATTCAAAGAAGGAGGAACAGAATTGTTTGCGCTGTCCTGACTAATATCTATCCCTCAATTGACAGGATAAAAATGGAGAATTTGGTCATTATCTCATTGTTGTCTGTGGGACCTTAATGGATGCAACTGACTGTCATGTTCCCTGTGCTACAACAACACCTACACTTCAAAAATACTTCACTGGCTGTAAATTGCCTTGGGACATCCTGAGTCTCCACATAAATAAGTTCTTTGCCTTTTCCTTTGAGTACTGGAAGTTTTTAAATCAACCCGATTTTCCCAGTGCCTCATGAAGTTCATCATGGGATAAATTCCCTGCCCAGACACACTGGGCTTACTTTTACCAGGAATCGGTGAAATGCCAGTTTCATTACACTTGATGAACAGTCTCTCTCTTGTGGGCCCTAGCATATTTCATAGAATCAAAGAATCCCTACAGTGTGGAATCAGGCTATTCGGCCCATCGTGCCCACACTGACCCTCCAAAGAGCATCTCAACCAGACCCACTCTCTACCCTATCACTGTAACCCTGCATTTCCCATGGCTAACCTGCACAGCTTTGGACTGTGGGTGGAAACCCGAGCACCTGGAGGAAACCCAAGCAGATGACTCCTTGCAAGCTCCTACAGTGGATGTAACTCTAACATTTCTTATAACTGCTCTTGATAAGGGGTTCAAAGCTGTCCACAGCACTCCAGGTATGGTCTGACTAGTGTCTTGTACAGTTTTCACAAAATATCCCCACTTTTATATTCCATTTCCTCTAAACTAAAAGCTAACATTCCATTTGCCTTCCCTATAACCTGCTGAACTTGGATGCTTGGTTTTTTTGTGATTCATGAATGGGGATTCCCAAATCCCTCTGTTTGTAGCTTTCTGCATCTGAATCTCATCTGGCTGTTCAACACCTGGTTGGGAAATAGGATGTTTTGTTTGTGATATCTAGAAGCTCCTCACTGGCCATCTCACATGATTCTCCCAACATTCTCGCCATTACCCATGATTCAGTGCCTGGGAAGATTCTGCCCCTTCTTCCTACTTGTTCAGAGGAAGTGCTGTTCTGCTGAACTGGAGACATTCGTAAGGTCTTAAGAGTTCCTCTTCCTTTTGTGTTGGAGATGTGTAGCCTGAATAAGCCCATTATGGTAGCATGCTACTTTGGTATCTATCAAGGAAGTCGCAGAATTAGTATTCAATGTGGGCAAAGTGCTTTGGCACTTTTATTGCTGATCAACACGTTCAACTTGAATGGCAAGTTCTGTGAAATTGTATTGGGCTAAATTCAGAGAGTATTCAATACAACGCCCTGTATGAACCAATTGCAGGTTTGGATTTACCTGGAGCTCTGCCTGGTGAACCTGAGCAGCTGCAGTTGCCACTTGGTCCTCTAGATCTGCAAGCTCTGACTCTGTAGTTATACTGTGAATGCTCCGTGCACAATCCTCCAGGTCGTTAAGCTGTCCCTCCAAACTATACACACTGCCTGCTGTTATGTAAACCTAGATAAAGCAAGAGAGTTACCGCAATATGAGTGCCTGCCAGTGTTTCACCATGGAAAAGGCAACTCAAATGAATATGTGAATGGCTACAATCAAACAGACCATGTGGTGAAGATATTTAGTCGGTAGTAAGCACTAAGGATGGTGGATAATCAGGAGGAACCCCATGGAAACACGAATGTAGGAAATAGGAGCAGGAGAAGGCCATTGAGAACAGTGAGCCCAATCCTCTATCAAACTCAGTGATGGATGATCTTCTACCCCAGTGCCATTTTCTGCATTTGAGGTTGATATTTTTCCATTTACAATGGACTAATTTCATTATAAACTGCTTCGTTTTATTAACTCCAACACTCTGACAGAGTAATTTCTTCTTAATGACTAATCTTCTGTACCACCATATGCTTTTCAAATTCAGTTATGTACTGTGATAGGATTTTGCCTCCAGCTGTTTTACCTAATGCGACAATGCTTCTGTAGTCTCCCTTAATATAAGAAACTGGCTATGGATATTGTGGTATTGAAGAATCCAACAAACATTTATTACAGTTAGCTGTTATGTTCAACCATTACCTTCACAGGCACATAAGTGTCTGGGCTCACACTGAACTGTCAGATTACAATTGAGCTTCAAGTGAATCATGCTAAGATGGAATATGAGACAGCTAAACTGACAGGGCACATGTTTTGATGCAGTGAAGATATTTTAATCTTTGTTAATCTTTGATTCTGACTAAAAATTAGCACTCAACAGCATTTGAATAATATTGAATAATTCCAATAAAAACAGGAAGATTCTGGAAACGATCAATAGGTTGGGAGGTAGCATACAGATGGGGCTTACTTTTACAGGTAGAAACGTTGTTGAAAACTGATGACTTGAAACCCCTATTTATCTTTTCATTGTTGTTGCCTGATCCATTGCTGTTTCCAACAATTTCTATATTTTTTTATTTTAGACCTGCATCACCTACAGTATTTTGATTTTAGTGAGACATTTCAGATGACAGGGAGCAAGGATTTACTCCTGAAGTACAGTCTGATTTATTTCAAAGTTACAAATTGTGTTTTGTACTTTATATTCAAGACTTCTATCCTTCCCAAGAGAGAGACCTTTCAAACAGAACAGAAAGAAAATAATGATGGCTTGGATTTGCAATGAAATAACTAGGCCCGAAACCATCACAGAATAAAGAGAAAGAATAAAGAGAAAGGATTTCTTGCACCCACATTGGCTGTTGTGTTTCCTTCATTACAACAGTAACATTATTTCAAGAGTAACTCTTTGACACTGGAGATGCTTGGGACATTCTTTGGTTGTGAAAGGCCACTATCTCAATCTAAGTTATTGCTTTGAAGTGCCATGTCTTTCTTTCACGGCATGCAGGGGCTACATTTATTGCTAACTTCTCATTCCTTGGAATTGCTACACTCTTTATGTAGCAGTTTAGTACAATCATGTGGTTTGCTAGGGCTAAACGGATAGCTCAGTTGGCTGGATGATTGGTTTGTGATGCAGGATGACATCAGCAGTATGGGGTCAATTCCTGTACCAGCTGAGGTCACCATGAGGTCAACCTACCCCTTGCATGAGGTATGGTAGACCCTCAGGTTAAACCCACTACCAGTTGTCCGTCTTAGATAAGAGAGCAGGCTTACGGTCATCTGGCACTACGGTGACTTTATCTCAGGGGGTTAATCAAGAGTCTACTGCATTGTTATGGGTCAGGATTCATATGTAGGCCCGACTTGGTAAGGATGGCAAATTTTCTTCCCGAAAGGACATTAAGGAATCAGATGTTTTTTACAAAAAAACATCAACCTGTTATGAAATACCTCCTTGGCAATCAGATCCTGAGTGGGACTTAAAACTAGATATTCTGGCCCAGAAGGAGGGACCCAGCACTGTGCCAAACAACACCCCTATCAGGTAGGCTTTTGTCATGGTCATTATAACTGAGGTTAGCTTTATTGAACGGTTGCCATAGCAGGATTTAAACACCTGTCCCTGGAACATGAGACTGAACCTGTGGAGTATTAATATAGCAACATTGCCACAATGCTGCTATAGTCAACCCAAGTCCCTTTCATCCCAATGTTGTTAATTTCCAAGTTTGCATCTATTTGTTTCAGTTGCAAACCTTATTCAATGCCCAGATGATGTCAGACTTATTTAACTGCACAGGTTAACTGTGCCAACAAAAAATAGCTCACAGGATATTATTTGTTCCTCTTACATTTTCCTCCAGTTTAGTGAGCTGCTCTTCAAGTTTCACAGCTTCCTTCCCTGTTGGAATTCTTCCTCCACTCGGCTCTGACTGGGAATCACTTGTACCTGTGGCCTCCCCAATTAGATCCTCTGTGGCATTGATGACTTTCAGTGCTTCTGTTGTAATGTTGCAGAGAGAGATCGCAGAATACTTCTGTTTGGTTAAATGATGGGGAGGAACAGAGAGAACAACACAATATTAATACTTGTACGTGAAATAACTCCACTGAGGCCAGTATCCCGTCACCAAGTCACCCTTTATTTACACGTGCAGAGTCCTTGACACTGATCCAGCTTCCTCAGAGCCAACTCTTGGAGTGAACAGAACCTCTGACAGTCCTGTTTATATCTGTCAGCCAGGGCTCCCTGATTGGACCAAATTAACAGTGCCAATCAGGGAACTCATATTCTCCGAGGTCCATCTGCTGACCCCATTACAATTTCTACAGTTCGGTGGTGCAGAACCTGAGTATTGCTGAGAAAGAGAAGTACTTTTGAAGATTTCCATCAGGACAGATGCAAAAATGCCATACTTCAAAGGGAGCAACAATTTCTACTGCATGAGAAAAGGTACTGATAAGTTGGCAAATCAGCTGATTGGTTGCGATGTTGCTATGGAGAATGTGCCAGGGAATTAATGTCCACTACGATTCTGTTTAATTCGAAAATGCTACAATGGTTGGACATGTTCCTTTTGCCTGCAGAAGACAGGAGTCTGTGCATGAACATAGAGGTAAAGGTGAAGTTGCTATTTTCCTACTGGACCACTGGGCTAATCTCTTATTACAGAGAGATGACTGGTGGTGATTTAACTTGAGAGTCACCTTGCCTCGGGGTGGGGAGAGGTTGAGAAGGAGAATCCTTCATGGTAACCTCATCTGGAATTCGACTCATGCTGTTGGCATTACTCGACATTGCAAACCAGTCGTACAGCCAACTGAACTAATACATAGCTTCTAGCAAGCATAGGTATGCCGCAAAATCATGGAGTCTCTTTCTTCAGCAATACAATATTTGTAAATAAATGTCACATTGGAAATACTAAGTTAACAAATTAAATGCACTTGTAAACATACAAACAGAATGTACACAGGTAGGATTGTGAAGTTGTGTAGTACAGGTTAGCATTGGAAAGCATTCATAATGATCAAAGCTGTGGACTCTGATATGGTTTACCGTAGGACATGTCACTTGAGTAAAAGGCTCCATTCTTCTTCTGGATCTATAAATGCTACAATGATTGAACTAAAGGCTTGGAGTTTTGGGAAATGCTGTGTTTTTGTTGTACAATGGTTATCATATTTGCCCAACATGTGAGAGGTGCCTGGTTTGAAACTGAGGAGAGGGGCTTGTGCTGTTCTGTAGTAGCTATTATTACATTCAGTTAATCAGTAGAATTCTTCACCATAGAGGCTGGGTTGTTAAATAGGTTCAAGGCTGAGATAGACAGATTTGTAATCAGTAAGGGAATCAGGGCTTATGGGGCAAAGGCAGGAAAGAAGCGTGAAAATGATCAGATCAGCCACGATCTCATTGAATGGCACAGCAGACTCAATGGGCTGAATGGTTTATTTCTGCACCTATGTTTTATGGCTTTGGATTAAGACCTCACTGTGGGGGGGAGGGGGTCGGTGTCAAAGGAGGTCCTGACTTAGCATTGTGTCAGGATCATTCACTTGATAGTGATTATCCCCGAATTAGACAAGTAGCGGCTAGAGGGATGTCCCCTGAATTCACAGTCTACCGTTTTGATAAGGGAGAGAGGGAGAAAGAGAGAGGCTGCTTTCACCTCAGCAACTAAAACACCTGAATTTGAAACTGGCCACTTAGGGGAAGTGCCAGGTAATTAGAGTGGGCCTCAAAACCTGCAGACTGCCCAGAGAAAAGGCCACATCTACTGTCTCCAAGCAGCTGCCTTGTTCTCCACTCCATCCCAGGCCCAACAGGTTGGCCAGAAGATGCATGTTTAGACTCTCATCACCAGTCCCAGTGACCTTTAATTTACCTGGACCAGCTAGACACCACTTGTGGATGAGAAACCCTTCATTCCCTGACCCTCATTCTGGGAAAATGGTTCGGGTCAGGATGGTAGCAGCAAACAGATATGCTGGCTGGCAGCACCATATTATACCCCTGCCTACCTCGGGTCTTGTACCCCCTGTGCCATCCCATCAAAGAAACAATTAATTGGTACAAGTATGTGATCTACAGCAAAACACTGACAGGGACCTTGGAATAATGGATTGCCTCTTACTCTCTATAGGAAATGGAGTTAAGACAACAATCAATCAGCCATGATCATATTTAATGATGAACAAGGCTCAAGCGCCTGAATGGCCTACTCCTGCTCCTATTTATTATCTACAGAAAGTAACAACAGCAGGAGTAGGCCATTCAGGCCCTTTGAGCCTGCTCCACCATTCAATATGATCCTGGCTGATCATCCGACTCAGTCCCTGTTCCCACTTTCTCCCCATACCGCCTGATCCCTTTAGCCCTAGAAGCTATTTGCATTTCCTTCTTGAAAACATTCAATATTTAGGCCATGGCCACTTTCTGTGGGAGAGAATTCCGCAGGCTCACCACTCTCTGGGTGAAAAAAATTCTCCTCCTCTCAGTCGTAAATAGCCCTCACAGGAACGGCACTGCTGCCTCACAGCACCAGGGATCTGGGTTCATTTCTAGCCTTGGGTGTCTATGTGGAGTTTGCATGTTCCCCCTGCCTCTGCGTGGGTTTCCTCCAAGAGCTCCAGTTTCCTCCCACAATCCAAAGCTGTGCAGGTTAGTTGGATTGGCCGTGCTAAACTGGCTTTGCAGTATCCAGGGATGTACAGGCTGGGTGCACTACCATGGTAAATATGGGGTTAAGGGGATGGGGTGGAATGCTCTTTAGAGGGTCAGTACAGATTTGATGGGCTGAATGGCCTCTATCTGCACTGTAGGGATGCTACGATTCTACTCTGTATCCATAGACTGTGACCCCTGATTATTGGGAATATCCTTCCTGCACTTATCCTTTCCATGAGTATTCCCCGCCCCATCCCAATTCATCTATACTGCTGTGAATATGGTCCTAAAATATCCAGTCTCTCCCTATACATCAGTACTGCTATCCCAAGAATCAGTCTGGTAAACCTCCATTACACTCCCTACATAGTCAAAACACCTTTCCACAGATAAAGAGACTAAAATAGTTTTCTTGTTCTATCATCTTTACAGTGTAAATTTTAGATTAGCAATTTGCTAACTGTCCAATTTCTGATGACTGCACTGAGCACAGTCATTCACCCATAACATTACGTTGATGAGTACTAAATGAAGGTACGAGGAGGTTATGACTGTTTCTGAGTGCCCAGTCACAGGGTTAGGGTGGTGTTGTTAACATGACTTCAAGATATCTACACATGACTTTGGACTGTTTTTAAATCATTGAAAACCAAACTCTGTCAGGTAAAACATGTTACCTACAGTGAGGATGGCCTCCAGGTCACTTCCCTGTAATCTCTGGCCATATTTAGTTTTAAAAACAGAAAATATGGTTAACGATTGTTTGCTGAGCTGAATGTCCAAATCAATCGTTATCACCTATAATTTTGAGAGTAAAATGCTTCAAACCGTCACGAGTGTAGTGTAATTTCCCACAGCCCACAAGAGCTAGGATGAATTGGATTATTATAGCCAATGTTAAGAACATTTTCAATTCTCAATCCATACAGTTAGTAAAACAGATCAATTTTCTCCCTTTCATACCTTAATTTTCACCCTTTTAACATCTTTTTTCGTCCAGTATTAACAACTCCTTCGCCCTTTTGCAACGTGCCTCTGTGACAAAGTGAAACAATGAACCTTTTCCCCAGCACTTTGCAATTCTGAAGAAGAGTCACACTGGACTCTAAACACACACTTTATTTCTCTCCACACATGGTGCCAGACCTGCTGAGTTTCTCCAGCATTCTCACTTCTTGTTTATAGCTCTCTTGTTCGAACAATGTTTTGCAGGCAACTGGAGTTTGTTTTACTTTTCAGTGGGAGAAGCCTGTTTAAGAACAGGCTGCTCAGCCCATCTCTCTGCCTTATTGAAGGACACTTACTGTGAATCCAAAGTGAAATCTGATTTTTCTCTTGAAGAATAATTGGAAGATTTCTTGATATTATATTTGCTGAGCAAACTGCATCTGCAGATGGCAGGAGGTGTGTGGGGTTTATGTGTGTGTGTGTGTGTGTGTGTGCATGTGGAGGGTGTGTGTGGGAGGTGGGTTTGTGTGTGTGAGGTTTGTGTGCGTGTGTGGGTTTTGTGTGCGTGCGTGTGTGTGAGGTTTGTGTGTGTGTGTGAGGTTTGTGTGTGTGTGTGTGTGTGGGTTTTGTGCGTGTGTGTGGGGTTTGTGTGTGTGGGAGTGGGTTTTGTGCATGGGAGTGGGTTTTGTGTGCGTGTGTGTGGGGGTGGTGTTGAGTGTGTGTGTGAGGTTTTTGTGTATGGGTGGGGGTTTTGTGTGTGGGGTTGGGGTTTGTGTGTGTGTGTGGGATTTGTGTGTGTGTGGGTGGGTTTTATGTGCGTGTGGGATTTGTAAGTGTGTAGGGTAGTGCGTGTTGGGGAGCTGCTAATGTGTGTTCGTGTTGGTGAGTATGTAGGTGGGCGCTGGTTTGTCTGCGTAGGGGATGGGTGTTTGTGTGTTGGTGAGGGGTTCAGGTTTGTATGTGTGGAGGGTGTTTGTGTGGACGTAGGTGGTGGGTGTTAATGTGTGTCTTTGTTGGGGTGGGTTGTGTGTGTGGGGGAGGGGTTTGTGCCTATGGTGGTGTGTGTGTGTGTGTGTGTGTGTGGTGCGTGTGTGTCTGTGTGTGGTGCGTGTGTGTGTGGTGCATGTATGCGTGTGTGGTGCGTGTGTGTGCGTGTGGGGTGCATGTATGCGTGTGTGGTGCATGTGTGTGCGTGTGCGGTGCATGTGTGCGTGTGTTTGTGTGTGGTCTGTGGAGGTGGTGCATGTGTGTGTGTTTGTGTGTGTGCGTGTGAGGAGTGTTTTTGGATTATTTAGAAGAGTCATCATTTATATCTCCGTATTACAAACTGAATATGTTAACCGCTTTGCATCTTGATCTTGAAAGGGTAAATAGGGTGGTTAATAGGGCATTAAAGTAGTAAGTGGGGGGAAGGGAGAA